CAGGAATGCAAGTTTCTACACTAACTATACAGAGGCACATACTTACCACATCCAATAGCAGAGACAAGTGACCCAGCTCAAGTTTTCCTTCTGCTTGGGGTTCTGTTATTGAGTAAGAATAGACATCACCAGACTTGTCTGCAACCAGAATCTTATCCTCTGCAGTTGTAATAATCAGGGAAAGGCATCTCCTGTTCACAGACCTGAAATAAAAATGTCACAGTTTGAACAGCTCTGGATGCCAGCTTCAGCAAGTCTGGATTCAGACCCAGTTAAACAGACCAAGAGACTGGACAAAAAGCTCTCAGAAGCAACATTCCTGAAATGGTAGCAATGAGAATAATGTTAAGGGAGGCTATAGGGCCAAAACAGCACTTCTGAGACCTGCTAAATGACTAACCTATGTAATAGCAAGCACCTGGGGAGGTGGGAGGAAAAAAGGAGAGACCATTAAAAAGAAAGAAACACCAAAATGCCAGCATTTTGCTCAGGTACTTTCTCAACTGAGCATTTTGCCCAGGCAGCCTGCCAGTACTCTAAAGAAAGCCTGGTAGACTTTCTTGCACTCACCATAATAAAAATACAAGTTAAACACGTGGAAAAGAGAAGACAAGGTAAGAGTTCTCCTAGTAAAAGTCCTTTGCAGCAACACATCTCAAACTGTGTTGAAACTATTTTTCCAGTTGCCACTTTGTATTGTAAAAGGAAGTCCTTCCTTGTGAGCCTCAAGGGCTTTTCCTCCTTGCATCCAGAGTCAGAGACACACAGTGTCACAGTACCTTGTCCAGGCAAAGCCCTGAACTTGAACTCTGACTTTCCCTTACTATTTGCCAGTATCCTATAGTTGCAGTTGCCAGTGCAGCAGGTAACAGTTCTCTTACAACTTTTCAGATAAGTGTAAGGACCATATATGTCAGAAAACAGGTTTTAAAAAAGGTTTAATCACTTAGTCTGGAGAATGTTTGTGCATCTTAACAACGGTTTCATAACATCTATTTTCCAAACCCCTCCATGTTCTGTGTGTTAACACAGGACTGTGGACACTGGTGATCATAGGGAACATCACCTACTCTGAACTTTGATGACCGTCTGGAGACAAAAGGACAATATACTGTACTTTAGGTAGGAAGACAGAAATTCAAATACTTTTTAGTGACTTTAAGGGAACACCGTAACAATAGGAAAATATATAGGACAAGAGCGCCTACCAACACATTACAGGCTCAAGCAGCAGTTTGAAAATAGGTTACCTTGCCAACAAGAACAAGTCTCGCTCCAAGTTCATTGTACTGCCTTTGATCTTAAACACAAAGAGTCAAAAAGCTCCCTTTGTCTGCAATGAGCTGACTACAAAAGCTAGCACCATGTGAAACCTTTTATACAGCTTGCCACAAAACACCAACACAAGTTACATAGCTCAACTTTGGCTTTAATTTTTTTCATGCAAGGGTCATGAGACCCTTTTGTCTGTTTTCCCAGTTTCCTAATAGGAGGTAGTGACGTTCCCAGAAAATCCAGCTGTGGTCCTAGTTCAGGTTTCTTTTAGCAGAAAACTGATACATCAAACAATTATCCAACGGCATAGTATGGGCAAGACATACACGGCAGGGCAGCAGGGAAGACAGATGGCAGAATGAACAGGATTTACCATTTCTGGTTTTGTGAAGCGATTACTTACTCACTACAACATTGGTTAACCCGCCAAAGGTTCATCATGTACCCTACACACACAGCCAAGCTGACATTGTTTTACAACATGGGCCTCACATTAGTCAGACCACCAGAAGCAGAGACCGTTACACGCTGGGGTACTTTCTCAGGAAGTCCTTCATGGGCCTCTTTTTTACAGGTAATTGTCACAAGCAGCAGCAGAAAACTTGTAACTGCAGGACCTCTGGTGGACAGCTACAGACTGTTTTCTCAGGAGGATCGTACTACAGAAGGGAAACAGTTGGCAGCATTTCTAAAGATACGCTTTTAAGAGAGTTCACAAACTCCCCAACACACCTTCTCCAAATCAACAGAAATGGACAGTGCACTCACTAAACTGCTCAGTATTGCTCTTACAGGCCCAACATTAAGTGTTCACTAGGAGCGGGTAAAGTTTTAGTTCTTAAAGATGCAAATACTGTCTTTTGAAATAAGAAGAGATTACGCTTTCCTTGGCCAATCACATAAACATCTGCACTCCCATTCTTGGTGTGGGGCATACCACGCATCACTTCTTGACAAGTATCTTTGAATTCCCAAGAACATTAAATTTGTTTGAGCAAGTGTAAAGTAAAAAAGAAAGAGGAAGCTTAGTGATAACAAATAGCAGCATTCCAAGTACTACTATTTTATAACTATTTTATGAATCAGCCGTAACTCCATAACAAGTGACATGCAACATCCTGCTCCCTTACCTGACGCTAACACATTCCCAGGAAGGCTTTGTATGGAACAGAATCAGACGTTTGTTGTCATCTGTCAAGGCAAAATAATCTCCTGATGGGGAGAAGGCAAAAGCTAGGATGTCATCACTTCCTTTACCTGTCGGTTTTCCATCCTGTCTAATAAAGAGAAGAGGAACAACAGTTCACAATCTGAGAGTTACTGAAATCCTTAAGAGAAGGTTGTTTTCACACCACCAAGAAGGAGCATGGAGAACAAGGTACAACGCTAAGAGCGTTATTTATGTTTAAAACGCTGAGCCAGCTTGAACGTTAATGCAAAGAAAAAAGCCAAGAAAAAGGAAACATATAAGCTCTAAGCCTGTATCATTACCTGCCTGAAAAAAAACCCACTAGGGTTTGTGCTAGAAGATCTTAACAAAAATTTAGGGGAAAACAGTAAAATTGGCTACAGGTAAAACAATGTCCAGTGGTTGAATTTAAACTAAGAAAAAGACTTTGAAATCTCATGACTTAGAGAACAGACCTGACAGAGGAGTTATGTAACTGGTTTGTGTTTCTTTTCCAGCTGTCTTAGATGGTCTAACAAAAATGCAGCATTTTCCCATAAATGTTTTGACTGAGAAGAGTCATACAGAATCATTGATTATACTATCAGTGTTTCTCTAAAAAATTAAAGGTGTACAGTCTTCCCTCTGGGATGAAACAAACAAACAAACAAATCATATATATATATCCATCAGGGTCATCCCATGACTTTCCTTCATTATCTTCACTGCCACATAACCTCAGGAGCATGCACCATCTAAGTAAACAGCAGGCTGCCTAAGCAGATTTTCTCACCCTTTGTTTCCTAAGGTCTTCTCCGCATTGATGCAATCATACACGAAGAGACTATCATCACTGCAAATAAAAACCAGCATAGTGAAAACACAGGAACTAGAACAACCATGAGCTTAAGTATGGAGACCATCCACTCTTTTGTAACACGGTATTATTTTGCAGCTATTTGCACAACCAACCCCTTATCTCAAGGAACCACCCCTGAGAAATGGGCTCCCTAAAATGCTACAGATGTGGCAGAAGCTCACAACCTTGGACTGCACACACGCCAAAAAAAGAAGTTGTCATCTGTTGGCAAAGCAACCGTTATATTTGACTTTTGTCAGGCTTGACATATTTGTCACTAGCATTTATCCCGTTGTTCACATGCCAGTGACGTGCATCTGGAGGTGCATAAGCGTGCCAGAAAACCGTCAAGACGAAAAAGCTTTAAAGTGGTATTTCGGTCACTGAGAAGGCACGCAAGGAACCCCAAAGGTCCGCTCTCAGCTCTGCAGGGCCCTCCGACAGGCAGAGCCTCCTCCACGCTCCCA